TTCTCTGATCAGCTAATCTATATTTTTTTTATTTTAAAGGGGGTTGATGGCCAGCGACAAGCTGTTCGTAATAAACATCTCGTCCTTTTTGTACTTTTCTCAACCCTTCTATGAATTTCCAAATTGTAGGGTGCTTCATTCCTAATTCTAATTGTAACCGTCTATGAGCCGCCTCTGCATGGTTGTTGGTCCTGTCTTGACCATTTAATGTCCTCTCATAGAGATTCCACATCTGATGGGGAAACAGTGGGGCTCGTCTACTAGGTCCTCGTCTGTAAATCAAAAAAATAAATTGGTATAAGGAAGCTAATATATCTAATCGAAGTTATAAATAATGTTTCTTTCGTAAAAAATAAAACGTTATTTCTTAATTTATTTTATAAATTTTTTATTATATACCTGTTTCGGCGACCAACATAATTGTCTTCAAACCAGTCCAAAAGTGGTTGTAGATCTTCTTGCAAACTATCGCCGAGTACATTAATGGCTTCATCCAAATCTTTTATGGGAATAAATGCCATAGATATTACCATTCTTGCGTTGAGTGCAAATTGAGGGTTATTTTTGTACTGAGTCAATTGTCCAATTGTACCTATATGTTTTCTCATATTTTGAGCCAAATGAAAAAAGCATCCGTTAATGCTTACATTTGGAAATGAATCGTTCATTGCATTAAATGCAGCCTGTTCAAAATCACAATGAATTTGTGAAGGTCCTACGTCTGGTATAAGTTCTTTGATGATCTCGAACATTTTTTTGTATGTAGCTCCTTGTTTGTCCGGTAGTAGGGCATAAAATATGGGATGAACACCATTATTTTTTACTGCCATCACTGTATAGACTTGGAAAAACAATGGTAGTGTAATCGAAAATGTACCATCGGCATACCAAGTTGCAGAGGTTTGCAAATGTTGCAGCCAACTTTGTCTGCCAAAAATCAAAATTCTACTGGGTCCATGTGAATAATCGGATAGTAAAAAAATTTCTACTACATCAGGTTGGGCATGATATATTCGATAGGAATCTGGTAAAACTAAGTTATCTAGAGTTGTAGGATTTGCGGGTGCTGCGTTAACTTCATTCCTTTTTCTTTGAACTGCCTTTCTTAAAGCACAGCTGTTTGGTAATTTAGCCTGGCAAGCTTGTGAAATATTACTGACACATTCGTTGATAACCTAAAACAAAAAAGAACAAATATTTTTCAAACGATTTTTATAGCATGTAAAAGTTTTTAAACGTGTTAGTCAGTTTTAGTAAAAATAAACAAACAGCATATTACAGCAAAAATTCTAAAATACCAAATGAATAAAAATTACCTGAACTGTACTCTCTGTGGTTTCTTCAACACGTTTCTTTATTTTTGTTACTAATTCAGCTACTTCTGCGGAGACTGCTGAAACGTCGTGTGTGTGCACATTGACCTCTTTAATAATTGAATTATCTTTTGTGTGAATTTTTGCTTTACACCGACCTCTTCGTTCACATCTCCAAAATTTAACGTTTTCGTCACTTTTGCTTACACCGTCAAATACGTAAAGATATCCATTTGCCGAAAACTTCTCTTTTCCCCTTTCAGTTAAAATTGTCAACTCCATTATAAAAACTTTTTCGTAACGATCACAATAATTTTGATGATACTAAAGGTTCTGGATCTGGTATCGATATTTATATTACTCTAATACAGTTAATTCGAAAAATTAAATAATTCGTAACATTAATAGGTACTTAAATACGAGTAAAAGATAGGTAGTTAAACAGTTTATTAGTTTCTGTTAAACTCTAATACCAAGAAAAATTAAACAATTCGTAACATTAATAGGTACTTGAATACAAGTGAAAGATAGATAGGTAAAAATTTAATAGTTATTGTTAAACTCTAATACCAAGAAAAATTAAACAATTGGTAACATTAATAGGTACTTGAATACAAGTGAAAGATAGATAGGTAAACAGTTTAATAGTTATTGTTAAACCCTAATACCAAGAAAAATTAAACAATTCGTAACATTAATATGTACTTGAATAAAAGTGAATAGTAGGTGTAACGTTTAATGGTTTTTGTTAAAATTCTTAATTTTAATATCCACCTTTATGTTCATTACCTAAATCAATATGGATTTTAATGAAATTTTAACTACCTATTTTAAAATAAAATGAAAGGAAGAGTCCTTATGTTCTCACAGATTTCATTTGTTTCTGAATCCAAAACCTCTATAAAACGTATATTCTGACGGCGAATCGGCGACGGCGAATCGGCTGACGGCGAATGGGTCCTACGGCGACGGCGAATCGGCGACGGTGAATTGTCCCATTCCCAACAAAATGGGTTTATTCAACATCAAATATCTCTAAATCAATAATTTGGAATAAATTTTTTTTTCTGCCGAATATTCTCGAAAATAGTTTATTTTCATTTCCTATTCATGATTTTACCAAATGGCGCTTTTCCCATACAGGGGCAACCAAAACTCGGGACCACTTTTTTCTCAGTTTTTTCAAATGGAACACCCTGTAAATGAGGCCATACCAGTATAGCCCATACCATGAGCTTTCAGAAAATGTAGGGTTTGCCTACTTGATTTTTATTGGAAATGTATCTAATTCTTAAGGAAAGTATAAAAAAGTTATAAAAGCAATAACTATTTATTTCATTCGAAAAAGCATAAATTCACATCAAATGTTCGAATAATCTCCCATTTTGAGCTATGCACAAATTAAGTCTATCTACATTTGCTCTTCTAACTTCAATTAAAGTTGATTTTGTAATAGAGTGAAAAATTTCTCTTATTCTATTCTTCATGTCTTCTGGTGTCGTTGGTTTTTCGCGGTAGACCTCTCCTTTAACATATCCCCAGAGATAGAAATCTAGAGGCGTGAGGTCTGGAGACCTTGCTGACCACTGAATGGGTCCGTTTCTTCCTATCCATTTATTACTGCGACCATCTTACCTGATTTTGATTGTGGGAAGGCGCGCCATCATGTTGGTAATATAACCTGAGTCTGGTGTCAATAGGTACATCCTCCAACAAAATTGGTAAATGATCTCGGAGAAAATCTCTGTAAATTTCCCCATTCAGTGGACCATCAAAGAAATGTGGTCCTATGACCTGATCCCCAATTATGCCCCCCCAAACATTTATCGACCATCTATTTTGGTAATCAATTTCTCTGACCCAATGTGGATTCTCTGTTGAGTAGTAGTGACAATTGTGTCTATTTACTATTCCATTACTTTTAAATGTTGACTCGTCACTAAACAAAATGTATTTTAGAAAATTTGTTTCCTCGCGAATAAAATTCAATATATTTTCGCAATAGCGAACTCTGGTGTCATAATCCCTTTCATAAAGTTCTTGATGTAATTCAATTCGGTATGGATGAAGTTTATTTTTTATCAATATTCTGTTCACAGAAGTGTGACTTATATCCAGCTCTTTTGCAATTTCCCTCGTACTAACATGAGGATTCTCTACTATTGAAAGGATCACCGCTAATTCATTTTCTTTATTTGTTGCAATTTTGTTTAATACTTGCCTTTTCTCGTGCTTGACACTGCCTGTTTCGTCAAATCTTTTTTTAACCCTCCGAAAAGTCTCTGGTCGTATAGACCTTGAATCAGGGTATCGAACTGCATACATTCTACTGGCTAATAAACAATTTCTATCACACTCACCCAAAATGTAGATCATATTTATCATTTCTTCGGTTGATAATTTCATTTTGAAGCGAAAAATTATTAAATTAACTATAAATTATTCTCCTCCTCGATAATTAAATGTCAAATTCTTATAACGTTCAAATGTTTCAAGGCTGATTTGATTTTTCGCTGTATTACAAGATCAACTTTAATGAAAGTTCGAAGAGCAATTGTAGATATAATTAATTCGGGTATAGCTTAAAATGTGAGATTGTTTAAACATTTGCTGTGAATATACGCTTCTTTAAATAATTGTTCGTTTATAATAAATAAATAGTTATTGCTTTTATAACTTTTTTATACTTTCCTTAAGAATTAGATACATTTCCGATAAAACTCAAGTAGGCAAACCCTACATTTTCTGAAAGCTCATGGTATGGGCTATCCTGGTATGGCTTCATTTACAGGGTGTTCCATTTGAAAAAACTGAGAAAAAAGTGGTCCCGAGTTTTGATTGCCTCTGTATGGGAAAAGCGCCATTCGATAAAATTATGATTAGAAAATGAAAATACACTATTTTCAAGAATATTCGGCAGAAAAAAAAAATTATTCCAAATTATTGATTTAGAAATATTTGATGTTGAATAAACTCATTTTGTTACCTAAATCCCACCATAAATTCCTAACCACCCAGTATAAACCCATACAACCCTATATTTTTGAGATACACTCTTCCAAAGAAATTTAATCGAGTAAAAATATATAGAGTGTTTCCTTTAAAAAAACATTACTTCAATAACTCATACATTTATCGGACACCCTGTATATTGGTAGTTATTTTTGGAACGTAGCTTTCAATGCCCTCTACAACTTTTATTTGAAGCATTTTTTCCTATCTCATATAGGGAAGCAGCTATCGTTCACCCACGCATCGTTGATACACCCTGTATACGTTATTATTTCATTATTTTTTTATAATTAGTTATGATTTTGTCTTTAATAAGATACGCCACTGGTATCGACAGACTTTTAGTTGCGTGTAACAGCAGCGTTGCCAGACGAGATCTTGGATTACAGTCTGTCTTCTTTCAATCCACATAAATTATCTTTCTCTCTTTTCCAATGATTGGGACCAAACAAAACATACTTTATGAATGAAATGCATCATCTATTGTTTCTTTTATTTAAGGGGTAGACATTTCGCTAAAACCCGGGGAACATCACTTTCAGCTGCCTAAAAAATCAAAGTAAGCAAATACACTGTAGTGAGTGTATAGAATACCGAATTCTTATTGGGCAGATTGAAAAATATTAATTAACGAAATCATAAATTTTAATGAAAATCGCAGAAACAAGTATTTATTTAACATCGAATTTTAAAAAATACACGTGCAAAAATCAGAATGATGAAAAACAAAATTGCTTCATCTTCATCAATTTCTTCTTTGTCATCGCTAGCATTATTTTCGCAATTAGCGTCATTATTCTCGTATTTATCATTAATATCATCGATGCTCTTTTCAACTTTCAAAACATCAGATTCAGTATTGTTATCATCTTCACCTGCGAACACACAAATAAAAATATTAAAAAAAAAAAATTCTACCTCAAAGTGACGTTGAAGTTATATTTAAGACAAAGAAAATATTTACCTTCTGGTTGGATGACAACTTCGTTTACAAACGTATGTAGCGGTCACCTTCAAACCATCCACCTCTTGCTATCCATTATCAACGGATAATACAATCGTTGGATACTTGTAATGAGCATTTGTCCAAATGATTGAAACGTATGAAGCCCGTAAGATCTGTTGGTGTAATTCTGATTGATAAGGTGATATAGCAGAACCGTCAAAGATTTTGACGATGGGCAGAGATAAGAGATATTAAGATAGGAAACGCAACAACCGCAGCAACGATGGCGTCATCTATGCGTCTTAGATGTTAACTGCGTTAAAGCTGGTCGTTGTTAAGCGTTGGCTTCTTATGAGCGTTTCCTATCTTTATCTCCCTTATCTTTGAGCTGGCCGTTATTAGGCATTGGCTTCTTATGAGCGTTTACTACCTTTATCTCCCTTATCTCTGACGATGGGGCTTGAAGAACTTATCTGTACTGCAGTCTGCATAAATTTTGTTGAATATAGCGAATCTTGTTTCGTTGACGTCTTTGGCTTGATGCTGTGAGGGCTAGGGCAGTTGTCCTTTGAAATGGCGCATAGAAAAGTGCTTATACTGTATATAGTCACGTGGTAATTGAGAGAGATAAGAATATAAAGTCCAGAGTTCAGACAGCTGTTCTCAGGTACTCGCATTCCAACATCTTTAAGTAAATACTCACCTGCCTTTCCCTCTCCTCATTTAACTATCTTACTTGTGAGTCTGGCAGTGCTTTCGTGATTGTAAATGACAACGAGACGTGCATTTTCTATGAAGTTATAGTATTATTTATCATGTAACAAATTTTTAAATCCGGGAAAATAAGAGCAAACATTTTGTAATTTTGACAATTTTCAAGATGCCGCCAGACTTATTTGGCAATTTCGTAAATCAGCCAGATTTACTATTCATTATAGTTTAAGACAGTATCAAATGATATGTTAAATGTCAAATATCGGGCAAAGTTTTGGATCCACAAATTGACTTTCCTCTGGTTAGGATATGCCAGACTTTTATTTCCATTATTAAAATGATTCACTTTAATAAATGTCAATAATTTATGACAGGGAAAATAAGTCTTTTTTTATCTAGTGAGCCCATCCAAAAATTTAAGCCATACTCACAAATTGTCGTTTTGTGTCACCATCCGAACAAATAATGTCACAATCACTAACTGCAAAAATAAGTTTAAAAAAAATTAACTGCTTATATACTATAGTCATTGGACTATAACACAAAAATAACTCATCAAAAATGTGATCCTGTTGCTTGTTTTTTTGGAATATCCATTATAAAATAATTATTCAATCTTATAATTTACCTAATATTTAAAAAAAAAACGTATTAATCCTTTACAATTAAAAACATCTAGATACTTTATTATAAAAAAAGTATATCGTAACGAATCTTATGTACTACATAAATATTCATAAACCGTTTTCGAGTTTTTCAAGGTATGTAAATAAATGATGAACTTACGAGTAGGTAGCTGCTAACCGAAAATTATTGAACTTAAAGAAAGCATAAAAACAGGGGAGCAACAGCTTGTTTGAAAAACACTTTTTTAATTGCTTATTGATTGAAAATTTTATAGCTCGTAAAAATGCGATCTGCTGATATGAACCAAAACGGAATTTCTTGCAATAACTTTCTCGATATTAAACTGCCGGACATGGACGTACTGAAGAAAGGGTGTACTTATTTGTAATATTTTTTAATGGCTGTAATACGCTTTTATGCAGTATACAGAAATAAATGGCTTTAAAACATATTTATCATGATCTATAATTTTTATTTATGATATGAATTTTATATAGTTAAATAAATTAAGTTTTGCGCTAACACCCAATACATATTATTTATTATTATTATTAATAATAATAATATTAACAGTAATGTTTATTTACATGTACAAAAATATTTTTTCCTACGACCACTTAGGAAAGTGACACATATCACACTATATAGTCCTATGGAAAGTGCCCTATATCACACGCGTATGAATAAGAATTTACTTTCCACCCGAGTGAGAATATGTTACTTTCCTCAGTAGTTGTCACAAGATGTCAAACACCTAATTTCTATTTTGATCTATGTAATGTCCATATTAATACTAAAATCGATATGATTGTTAAATTATTGAAATCGTTGTAAATTAGATCCTAGATATTTATCTTTAACAATTATTATTAAAATAATTTTAAAATAATGTTTGCTCTTTATTCTGGTTAAATACATAACCGATTAGATCATTCAATTGACACAAGGGCTATTAGATCAGGTGGTTAGGACATCGAACTTATCAACTTTGCCATTTTTCGAATGCGTTCGAATCCTGGCGAGGCAGAATTTTTTTTTGTTTTTTTTTTATTTTTTTATTTTTTTTTACATTTTTTTGATGACATTATTTTGTGGTCGTAGGAAAAATATTGTACATCACTTGTGTGAAAATGTCACTTTTCACACTCGTAATGTAATATACTATACTATAGGCACCCGAGATGTTAGTTGCACATTATTTATTCTATATATTTATCATTTTATTTAATTTAGAAAAATATTTCACTGTTGAATGTAAATAAAATATTAAATTTAAATGTATTTAATAATTTGTTTAAAAAATAATTCCACTAGAGTAGGGTCCGATTTGAATTGGAATAGGTACATGTGCAGTCGGTTCCATACCGGTACTTTCCGATTCCGTCAACTTTTAATAATTTCAAAGTGTATAGTGAGCAGTTTTTTTTATGTTTTGTGTCCATCTTATTCCTGGTTTCTAGATCAAGTGATCTTGGAGATACGTACAAAGCTAATTTATTAGCTTCTTTCATGAAGTACAGCCGCTAAACATTCACAATCATTTTGTGTTTACTTAGTTTTTATAACTTTGTCACTTATTTATATGGAAACGGTATCAACTGCACAGAAGGTACAATAAATAATCTCAGACATGTCTGAATGTTGTAAATGTCGAAATAGAAAATCATGTGAAGATCTGGTTGGGTGTGAAGGTCCATGTCAAAAATGGTTTCACTATTCCTATATCAAACTCGTTGAATCTGAATTTAAAGTTTTGAACAAAATTAAAAATTTAGTTTATATTTGTGATTCATGCTACAGAAAATGCGAAGTAATTGAAAAATGCACTGTGTCAGAATTAAATAATAATCTTTTCTCAATCGAAAAAAATGTAATTACTCTTAACGAATCTTTCTCCAGTGAATATCTAATGTAGTCAAAAAAGAGGTTGATGAGTTTTATTCTAAGATTAATGATTTATTCACTTTATTTAAAGCAGAGATGTGAACTGGTAAATTACCGATAAATTACCGTAGTAATTTACCGTAATTAATCAGAAATCAATTACAGTAATTTACGCGTAATTTACAAAGTAAATTACCGATTTATTATTTACCGTTATTTACCATTATATACGGCATTTTCTTGTAATTTACTATATTTCGCGAAAGCGACGCCGACCTTCGTCAGCGATATGATGCGACATGCGTTCGGTTCGGGGAATTACTGCCGGCCGCCCGAGATTATTAGGCCATGGTCGAGGATTCACATTATTCAAAACACGGTACCTGCACTCTGTAAAGTAAAGACGATTTGGCAATAGGCAGTTGATGTTTTGATAAGTTAGCTGGTTAGTGCTTACATTAATTACCCATTACTAACTTGTTTTGTTGTGTTTTATGTTGAAGTATTTCAGTTTGTTTGAGGTGAGTACATACATATTTTGTATTGCAAGGGCATTATAGCGTACAACCCGTGGGCTATATAGGGTGGTCCATTTTCCTTAGTTTATCGGGATAGACGGTAATAGTTAATAGATAGAAAATTACTTAATTTTTTTAATGTTCTGATTACAGATCGCAGATCGTGATTGTAATAGGCAGCAAAAATAAAATAAAAATCATAATAGCAGACGTTTTTATTAAAACTAATGCAAAAACATACAAATGCAAATTTTGTGCTAAATATAACAAGGATGTAACAAGCATTTGGTTCAAAAATGTCACTGGCCACCAGCAATTAAACAGGCCATTATAAAAAATTCTAAAGTACAGGAGATGAAAAAAATCGTATTGTACGTAAATTAGTTTTGATTAATGTAATGAATTGGTATTATTTATTGATTAGTACATATTTTAGTTTTTAAGAAGAGGGAAGACACTGAGAAAACTGAGATTAGTGATACCGACAGCAACATAGAACAGGAAAATGATAGTGATGATTACTATGCTGATCAGGTTGAAGAAACTTCAGATTCGAAATATCATGTTCAGAAATATAGCAGAAGTACCGTAAGTACCAGAACCTGCGCGTCAGTATTATCAACATTGGATTCGTTCGTAGATTTGATACTTTTGTCAAAAGAAGTGAATTTTTAATAAATTTCTAAATGAAAATGAACTGAAGGATTATTAAATTATCAAATAATTATTAAGCTCCGTCTTTACCAAATAAAATAAAAAACCTAACCGAAATAATATCAAATAAATAAATGTTTGTAATTCAATTAGAAATTATCAGTCTGAGTGAGGAGTGAGTGCATGCTGTGAGTGCTTGTGTATATGCCCGTGTTCTTATTTTGATATCAATGTTGTTTTTAGGAGCACATTTGGGAATTGCTAGCAAGGGCATGTTATGCAACCAATACGCCGTTAAGCATAACTGAAAATAAGCACTGGATAACTGCTCTGTATAATATGAGGCCTTCATTAAAACTTCCCTCACGGCATCAGTTATCAAATAAATTACTAAACAGTAAATATGATAGTGTAAAAAAGTCCGTGAACGAAAAAATGCATACTGCTAAGACTATAGGGATTTAAATTGGTGGTTGGTCTAATATTCGTAATGAATCTATAGTTAATGTCATCCTTACCACACCTGAGCCTG